ATACCGTGGAAAACGCCGCTGCTTTCCCTCGAGAGAGAGAGCAGCGAAAAACCCTAATCTCTCTATCTCGCCTCTATTCTCTCTAAGCCTCGATCGATTCGATCGTTAGTTAGGGTTCCCATATGTTAGCTTCCTTTTATAGGAGAAGTTGGCTAACTTATGGGTTACAAGGAAGCTAACGGGCTGATACACATTTGTGGCCCATATTACACGTGTAATTAATAACTACACAAATACAAAGATATTTAACCATATTGGACACCATTAAAATATTCTTCAACAATCCCCTCCTTGGTATTCAATCGTGTTGAATCAGCATTGCAGCACATATATCTTTGCGTTTGTTGTTATTCAGCTTCCTTTGTCTTTGAACTTGATTTCTGAGGAAGGCATTCCGAAGAAGCCCCTGTAATCTCCCCTTTGATGTCTTCTTGGCAATTTGATCTTTGATGTTGGGGGTTGAGGGATCTTCAGTATTTTGCATGTAGTCCTTGCCTTCCAGAATTTGCTCTTGATCAACTTGGATGAAGTCCGGTGACAACTCTAGAATGAATATTCTTTGGAGAATAGGAGACGCCTTCCAGAAGTTGCTCTTGATCAGCTTGGATGAAGTCCGATGACGCCTCTAGAATGAATATTCTTTGGAGAATAGGAGACGCTCATGGAATTCATCTTCAACAGTTTGAGTATCTGACCTTTGTCCCCTCCACAATGTAGTCTTTTTGACTATTTGGAATGAATGCATTTGAGGAGAACTTGTCGGTGGCACAGCGGAACATAATGATGGTTAACTTGTGAGCATAGCTGACCATTTGAGTTGCGGAGATAGTAGAGAAAGTGTTGGAGGAGAGAAGTGTCCCAGAATGATTTTTTGACAGTTAACAACATGTGGACCACTCTCCCCCTCATGACGATCCGATGACTCGGGGCGTCATGCCTTTATTCTTTAATCTGCGAAAATAAACAGGAAAAACAAGCAGAATGTAAAGAAGATAACGTAGCCCCCCGGGGTCGTGAAAACGCCCGTTATCATCACTATAGAGATAAACTCTTTAGCAATGGCCTTAAAATGTTGGTGATTCTTATGTTGCAACAGCAGGACTTCCTTCCAATCGTTGGTCTACATCTGTAATAGATGAGCCCTATGGAAGTTCTCGCGGGTCACGTAGACCTGCAACTGACTCAAAAAGTGCGTTTGTATCCTAGAAAATTTCAAAACATTTGGGAGTGAGTAACTAGACACGACGTGATCAATGAAAGTTCAGTGGCATGGGGCTGAGGCCACTGTAGTCAGTATCACTTGCCTCGGAAGGAGAGAGTAATGAGAGATGAGGTTCCCCGTGAAATATGATTAAACACCTGTCTGTTGAGAGACAAGTGAGTGGTCTTGGGTAGGGTTAAACATGCACTGTTGGACAAGATGCAGTGACTTCTACCCTGGATCTGATTAAATCAGTCCTGAACCTATTTGGGAATTGTCCAGAGTTTTTGAGTGGCTAGGAGTAAATGTTCAATTAATAGCAGGCAGTTGAGGTAGCAGACTCATCAGTGATTATTGTATTCTTGCTCACTTGAGCCTTCTGCTTCCTAACACTCATAATGTTCACTCACTCACTCGTTCACTCACTCACTTACGCTCGACTTTATCCCTTGGGTAGGCTTAGTTGGGTTTACTAAGCCATAGGGACATGTCCTCTCATTACATTCTTCATTTTCTCTCTGTACTCCCCTCAACTGGAGCACTCGGTATGCTTTGTCATTGTTAGGCACCGGGAAGGATAACATTGAACACTCCCCCTAGAATGTTGCATCCGTTGAGAGATTCCTTGCTTTGTCGGTGTAAGGCGCCAGGAGGCGAAAACTGAAACTCCCCGTCAGAATGTGCAAGGTTTGATTGCTCACCGATCATAATACCCGCCATGTGTGTGGAGCAATCTGAACAGATACCACACATGACGGTTTCCCTAAGCTCATCATTTGGAATTTCAGCAATTTGAGGATCACACAATGTTGATGAGTTAGGGGAGGCTTCAGTAGTTGATTGTTGATTGTTGTAAGATGACCGTTGACGCGAGGTTGATTGAATTATCTACGATTTGCGGACCTCTACAGTGGGATTAAGAAAATTTTTGACCTCAGGTTTGACTTTGGAAGAATTTGAACAGATTTGCCTAAGTTTTGACCTGGACATCGGTGATTTACAAAGTTTGTCGGAAAACAAACGTTTTGACCCTCAAGGACTGCACGTGAGGGCGCGTGAGGACCGAGAATAAATGTATATCTTTTCGTTAGCTTTCCAACAAAAAAAATTTCGCTTAAATCGGATCACCGAGTCAAAAGTTATGGCTAAAACAGTGCAATGTCGTTAAAAATCTCGAAATTTTGAGTTTTTGAGGAATTTCATCAAAGTTGAGGTTCTCGATGTTGAATCTCGAGAGCAGGTGGAGTTTAAACAAAATTCTAAGGCAATACCTCAAAATCCTAATCTCGAGTTTTAAACTTCGAGATTACAATCTCGAGGTTTAAATCTCGAGATTACAATCTCGAGGTTTAAATCTCGAGATTACAATCTCGATGTCTAAATCTCGAGATTACAATCTCGAGGTTTAAACTTCAAGATTACAATCTCGATGTCTAAATCTCGAGATTACAATCTCGAGGTTTAAATCTCGAGATTACAATCTCGAGGTTTAAACGTCGAGATTACAATCTCGAGGTTTAAATCTCGAAATTACAATCTCGAGGTTTAAATCTAGAGATTCCAATCTCGCGGTTTAAATCTAGAGATTACAATCTCGCGGTTTAAATCTCGAGATTACAATCTCAAGGTTTAAATCTCGAGATTACAATCTCAAGGTTTAAATCTCGAGATCTTAATCTCGAGTTTGCCTCGAAGAGTAATGGCGAAATCCACCTGCAAAACAAACCTTAGAATATCGAAATCTTCAGAATTTCAAAATGTTTGGAACATCGAAAACTTTGGAGTTTCGAAAACCTCAGAAAATCGAAAACTTGCTGTTGAAAAACATCAGAACATCGAAAACTTCTAAAAACTTTGATAAGCAGGGAATCATTCAAAAATCCTATAATGTAAAGCTGCGATGAACTGCGAAGAATGTCAAGCTTCGAAAAATTCTGAGTTTCAAGAAACCGCAAACTTTGAAACATTCAAAACATCAAGAAATTTTAAAAATCTCGAAATCTTCAGAATGTCGAGATCCTAACAATCGAGATCTCAAATTTCGAAATCCCAGATCCCAAAATATAGAGATCCTGCAAAATGAAAACTTCGAATTTTGAAAAACCGAAAACTGTTTTGAATAGCCCTGAAGGTCGAGATTTTTCCTATTTCAGTTTCAAGTCAAAAACGTTTCTGCAGCAGTGAAAAACAAGGATCTCAAGATCTCAATGTAGAGATCTTCGAAATATAAAAATTGCAGAAAACAAAAAATAAGGTATGCTGCTGGATCGGTATTGAAAGACGAGTCCAACAGTATAATTTTTACATATTTTCATTCACAAACAAGAATACAGGAGCAAATCTCTATATCAAAGAAAAACAGAAGAAAAGCAGAGCAGTTCTTCGTAAAATGGCAGATCCGAAAAAACCGCAGATAGATTCAACCCGTTTCACGCCTCGGCTCTGATATCAATTGTTTGTCCCTGATTTCTCTAACAATCAAACAACCATAGCAGATATAGAAGAAGCAGATAGAAAGATATCAGATGAACAACGTCTTTGGTATACCGTGGAAAACGTCGATGCTCTCCCTCGAGAGAGAGAGCAGCGGAAAACCCTAATCTCTCTATCTCGCCTCTATTCTCTCTAAGCCTCGATCGATTCGATCGTTAGTTAGGGTTCCCATAAGTTAGCTTCCTTTTATAGGAGAAGTTGGCTAACTTATGGGTTACAAGGAAGCTAACGGGCTAATACACATTTGTGGCCCGTATTACACGTTTAATTAATAACTACACAAATATAAAGATATTTAACCATATTGGACACCATTAAAATATTCTTCAACACAAAACTTGAATCACAGATCCGCCACTGAGTGTCCCTTACAACTATACTTTAGAGTGGGTACGAAACTAATACTAATACATAACTAACTAACACGCTTGTAAGAGTATTGGGCATTTAGACTAACACGCTTGTAATAGTATTGGGCATTTAGACGAACGCCCATTGCACGTTGATAACTAGTATCCGTATATTCTTAATAAAATTCGTGGCTTTATCTCTTCCTCTTCTTCGTAATTGTTCAGAGCCTCTCGGGAGTTATTCAGAGTTTTTTGTGTAGTGTTTCTTCGACTGGAAGTTCTCCTCCCTTCCTCTCATCTGAGACCCCTATTTATAGGTAGGGGTGGACTCGACCGGCCCAGAACCGGACAGGCCCGCTACTGTGCGGGCCCGAACCGGCCCGGTGAACCGGTTGGTTGGCCGGTTCGGGCCACCCGGCCTGGTGGGATCTCGGTTCGAGCTCGGGCCCTTCAAAAGGTGAACCGTCCCGGCCTGAACCGAGTCCATCCTTATTTATAGGTGTTGAGGGGTGAAAATATGTTTTAGAGTTTTTGAAATCCGTCCATACCCCTTGGACCTCAATGAAAATGGGCTTCGGGCTCTATTTGCTCGCATTTTAATAGCTAGAAAAATCAGCACTTATGCGATGTATCTGGACAGTTTCTTTAACGAAGTTCATAGCTATTTTTCATGCATATGGATGGATTTCTTAACCAGATTCGTTGCTCTCTTTATCAATGGGATCATATCTCTTATATATTGAGCCACTATTTGATGATTGGCTCAAAAGTAGAGAAATTAATAGGACCGCTCCAATCTTTAAAAGACTTAATTTATAATTAAATTAATAATTGGACATTTTAAATAATCCAAATTAATTTAATCACTAAATTTCTTCTCGTGTGGTCCATATCACTATCTTTTTAATGACTTCCAAAGAGCATCACGAGCTACCCAACAGAATTGAATATTGGCCCAATAGCATTCAAAGGGGGCCCAATAAGATGTAAAATAGCCCGGTAGATTTTCAAGAAGCCCAATGACAATAACATACCGTCATGATTACATCGTAAGCCCAATTGATTCATGAACTATAATGGCCCACTAATTTTAGATGTCCACAGTTTTTTTTTTTACAATAACATGGGAACCCAACTTGTCATAAAAATGAGGAGTGCTTACTAGAAATGTGTTTGATCAAGACAAATAGACAGGAAAACAATGGAAGAGCAATCGAAATCTGCAATGCGGAGTAAGATGTGGCACCAGATTGCGCATACCCAACATAGTTGAGCATTTGCACGCCCCCATCGACCTTCTCAGCCGTCAAAATCTCCACCGGGAAGGTACAAGTACCCACCGAGGGGTCAAACGGAGTCAACGCGCCCAATCCTGCAAAACTGCAAGCCCCATTTTCCAGCTCCTGGTTGTTGGACTGGTAATACATGTTAAAGGCATAGGAGGCATTCCAGGTGTAGTTAAGGTTGCCACATGAGGAACCAAAGTAGAGAGAGGAGCAGTCAGATTTGTTGCAGGCAAACTTCACCTGCTCATCCACCTTAGTCAAGTTGCTCTGGTCTCCATTGAATATGCACCAGCGCGAAGGCATTTTCACTATCCCCTTGGCTGCCCACGGGTAGATGTCCCGCCCCTGCCCAGAGAAGTCAATCTTGAATTTGGGTGTGCCGTCATAGTTGTAGATTCCCCTTCGACGTTGGTAGTTCCCTAAAACTAGGGGAATCCTGTTCTCATCGGTCAATGTAGCAAGGAACACATCTATGTTAGTGTTTGGTCGTCTCGGGGTTCCCTTTTTGTCCACTATATGCTTGAGAAAAGTGCGGTAAAACCTTTCTGCATTAGTAACATTGGCGTCTTTAGCCCCGTCTGTTGGCCACCCGACTTGCCCGATCACGATTTCCATGTTCGGGTACCCGGCCTTTTCGATGGCAACAACAAGTGCATCAAACATGAACTCAAAGGCATTCGTGTAGGCGTATTGCCCGTCTACAATGCTGAAGTTGGACTTGTTGTCCATGAAAGCAAATTCGATGGGCCAGTTGTTGGCTTGGGCCGAGAAGATCGGGTAGACATCGTACATGAAAAAGGAATTGGTGCTGTTGAACAGGCTCAGGTATTCTAGCATCTCGTCCTTGATATCGTCCCGAAACTCGGCTTCGGATGGCTTGTTCACAATCTTCAATATATCTGTGAAGTGGGAAGTGGTTGTTCTTATATGTGACAGGTTTGTGCTATGCAGACTCTCCACCGTTTCCCTGAAGACTTTTGTTGCATTCGAAATTGGTTCTAGCGCTGAGATGCGAAGGAATGGTTCATCAAGAACGATTATTGTCCTAGTGGAAAAGAGCATCATCATCAGAAACTAAATCAACAAAATAATAGGCTAGGCTGACAAAGGATCAGGATTGTTTTGTTCATTTAAATAAATACTTTTTTACTGCAGGTTCAACTATCAGAATTGCATTGTTCCAAATAGTTGTTCAACTTTTTGGAACAACTATCAGAATTGCATGTATCAATATGGTAGATTCCATTTAACTAGCCCAAAATCCAAAACATCCGCATTGCAAAAAACTCACATAGCCACCCATTGATAATAATATAATTAGTGAGTTAATCTGTTTGTATTGCCATATCAATTTGCTCTTAGTGACAGAGAAGCATAAAAGCAACAATATCTTCATGATCAATATTGAAAAAATGGCATAGATATTAGTCTTGGACTTCTAATAGACAAAAGTATAACTCTTTTTAATTATTCCAAAAATATGACTTCCTTTTCCCATTTTCTTCCAACCATACGCGCTAAACATGAGCTTCATGCGCTTCATTCCTGTCTGCGCTTCATTCCCATCCAGGAGCTCTGCACCTTCTTCCTCACCGGTTGAGATCTGCGCAATCAGAGATGAGGAGAGAACCGCCGCTCCTGCCGCTGCACCGCCATTCTGCACCGCCGTTCTGCACCTACTAACTCGTCCGCCGCCGCCACAACTCGGATCCTAGTCTTCTTCTATTTTCTTCTATTTCAAACCACCATCGCCGCCCTCTCCCTCTCCTCGTAGAACTCGATTAGAACGAAGATCTAAATCTCAGAGCTGCTGGATTGCCGTCTTCGGCCAGATCCATCATCGTCTTCGATGGAATTTTGTCGCAGGGTGGCCGCCGGTGCTGGATCTGCCGTCCTTGGGGCCACCGGTGCCAGATCTGCCGTCCTTAGGGCCACCGGTGCCGGATCTGTCATCTCGGTGGCTAGCCGGAGTAGTCGCAGTGGGGACGGAGGTGGTTGTTTGGCAGGGGCAGGAGGCCGGAGGGTAGAGTGGGGCTGGGGTGAGGTGTGGTGAGGTTGGGGTGTGGTGGACTGGTGCTGGGGTTTTGGTCGGGGTGCGGTGGTTGCACGGCCTGTCGGAGTGGTTGGTTTGCGGCGGTTCGATGGATGGAGCGGATAGCGGCAGTCACTGGCCAGGGGAGGGGGCGGGAGTCACTGGATGGGGAGGGGGCGACAAGGGGGCGGCAGTCACTGGTCGGGGGCGACAGCTGTCGCTGGACGCGAGGGCGAGTCACTTTGGCGGCGGAGTCACTGTGGCGACAGAGTCACTGTGGCGGCGGAGTCAATACTGTGGCGATGAGTCACTGTGACGGTGAAGTTACTTTGATCGAAGCACTTTGCATTGCAAGGATTAATTGTGATGTTAGGTTATATTTTTGGAATTTTAAAAAAGATAGTCACATTTTTATCTTTTATATTTTTTTAGTAATATCCAGACCAAAAGGCCGTCAATATTTCTAATCTATGTCTTACTCCCCCGGTCCCAATTTGATTTGCAAAATTTCCATTTTGGTTGTCCCAAAATGGTTTTCAACTTTCTATTTTAGGTATGTGAATAAGAATAAAGTGACAAATTTACCCTTACTTTTACTTTTTCCCCATTAATTTAAAAGCATCTACTTTTAGAAAGATGGGTAAACCTGTAAAAAGCAAACATCATTTATTGTCATTTTTTAATCCTTGTGTCGGTCAAAGTTTGCAATTCAATTCAGGATAAATGTAGTACTCCCTCCGTTCCTATTATATCTTCCAAATTTCCTTTTTAATCCGTTCCAATTAAACTTCCATTTTTCCTTTTTGGTAAAGAATTTGTGGTTCATAATATTTCTTACACATTTCTCTTTCCTCTGCACAACTCTCCACCACACAATACTCACTTTTCTAAAATTTTGTGCTAAAGTGAAATGGAAGATATAATAGGAACGGAGGGAGTATATGTTATAGTTTTAATCTCTATATAAATGGAGTATAAAGTAGCAAAGTGCCAAAAAAAATTGGCTCCAAAATTCCAAAACTCAAAGTGGAGACAAGTTATATGTATAAGGTCACATATAAGCTAGTAATGAATTTTCTCTAATACACTAATAATCGTAATAGTGATATTTAGTAGATTATTAGTGATATTTAGTGTATTAGAGAAAATTAGTGACACATGCGGGTAATAGAAAGTGATATTGTCATATTGAGTCTTTATATTATGAGTGTGGATAAGTATACAATAGTCTATGATTGATCTACCTAGATTATAGATACAAGTCAAGCAATATGTAATGGACTAATTTGTGATAACGTATTATGCTTTTATTGTTTTTATTATATTTAAGCAATTACACAATAATTCTTAACCTTCGATATGCCCCCTTCGAAAAATCTCTGACTCCGCCAGTGAAAGTGCGGGCTACAATTATGTAATGTACTAATGTGAGCTCCTAGCTTAGTAATAGATTTTCTTCATGCGTACTACGGAGAAAAATAATAACATATTTATATCTAATAATCATCATAATAATATTATTATTTTAAGTAGCAAAATGAGAACAAATTTTGGCTCCACAATTTCAGGCGAAAGCGGAAAGAAGTTATATTACTTCCGTCTCACTATCTTGTCACATTTTCTTTTTCTTCCGTCTCAGTAAGTTTGGCACACATCACACTTGTTAATATTTGTATGATCAGGGCCGTTCCTAAATTTTTTGGCCCGAGTTAATTTTTTGTAAAAGGCCTTTGAAAAATATAAAATTTGGATATTAAGATTCATAAATAATAGTTTAATTTATATGCCTACATCAAATAATTAAAACCCACACACCGCATGATATTGTTTTGATTGATATTATTTGTATTATTGTTATTTTAATAAAATAGAAAATTGTATATACGATAGTATAATAATAGTATACAATTATTTATGGGTCCCTAATTTTTTCCAAAATTTTGGTGCCTGAGGCGATTGCCTCTTTGCCTCAATATAAGGTTCGGCCTTGTGTGCGATTCTAATTCATTCTTACTTTATTAAACACTTTAAGAACTCAATATCAATTACATAATTACATCTTTCTTAATAACTGTATCACTCCCGAATGCCTCATTCTTAGCGAGACAAAGGTATAAGGTTAGATATCTAACATAGTAATTAGTTTTCTCTTTCATGTATTAATTTTTTGGATGTCTCTCTCTCTCATGTATAAGTAATATTAATAATTAATACTACCTCCATCCCGAAATGAAGTTATCATTCACTATTTACTTGGTCAACTTAAATCACTCTTAATCTTTTACTTTATATATAATTTTTTTATCAAATTTAATTTTTTTTTTTGATCAAGCTTTGTAGCGGTTTTAATGTAGTTTCTGATTATGTAAATCTTATTTACTAAAAATAATTTGAGTGTGAACAGAGATCGAGTTGCTTTATCGTCAGTCAAGCATCGTAAACCTAAAGAGAACTTCTTTACGGGACGGATGGAGTAATTATTATTATCCAACTTTGGTAGCAATTATTATTAGTTATATTTATATTAATATTTATAATAAAATGAATATATATTTATAATAAAGAGTATTTATATTTATACCTATAATAAAATTATAATTTGGTAAAAAATATAGGAACAATGTTGGAATTATAATTTCATAAAAATTATCTCTCACGCGCTATCAATTTTTTATTAGAAATTGCTCTAAATAGGAGCAAAAACGTTTTGAAATTCCAAAATAGGAGTATCATGTTTTTTATTCCCTGAATAGGAGTAATCTGCCAAGTTTGAAAAAAAATGTCATGCTTTAAAACTTAGTAATGCCAAACTTGGCAGAAATTTAATCCTATTCAAGGAATAAAAAACATGATACTCCTATTTTGGAATTTCAAAACTTTTTTACTCCTATTTAGGGAATTCTCTCATTTTTATCTTTATTCCTGTCTTATACAAAGTATAAGGTAAAGTAGCATACTTGCTATTTGGGCAAAATTGTTGCATAACTTTGGGACAAAAATGTGAAACTGTTCACGCAATGGAAAATGATGAAATACAATAAATAAACAGAGTAGTTCGTAGTTTAGTGAGGAATCATAATATAAAGTAATTTTCAAAACCCTTATGTAATTTAATAAATCAATTATTCTTAGATTTATTATCACATTGATATCAGCTTACGCTAGTGTAACATAACCCTTTATTCGTGTTTGCAAGTAGAATATTATTTGTAACATGAAATTATGAAAACAACAATGATATGCATTAATGATTGATAAGAATGGTGATTTAATTACCTTGAAATTGATAATATTAAAAATAATAATTTTTTTCCCTTTTGAAAGAAAGATTGAACTAAAAGAAGAAAAGGTTAGGGATGGAGGGACGTACTTAATTTTGACTCCTCTTTGAACGGGCACCGCAATGAGTTCAGTGATCCAGTCGCGAATGTTGCGGAGATTGCTCCATTTCATCCTTCTCACGAAATCGTTGGGTACGGTGACGGTGACGCCTAGAGAGCTGTCCTCCAGTGCCGTCAGCACGTTCGGTGACGGCGCGTACAACCGGATCTCAGAAATCCCATTCTGCAGAAGCAAATCCACCGCGATTGAGGGCACCATACTTTGGGTTGCAAATCGGCCCCAATACACCCCGATAAACCCATCTGCCCCGCCCCCACCCCACAACAACAACGTCAACGCCACCAAACCTAGCACATTCCTGCACCGCCAGCTTTTCAACGACTCCATTCATTCGGTCACGATCGCGCACGGCGTCCAAATCGCGAATCTCATTCATTCATGCCGCCACGCGCATGCATATCATGTACGCATTTGCATTTTGGATGCGAATGAATGAATTGGATGATGATGATGATTGATGGGTTTCAACATTATTATACGAATAAATTCTCACCCCCAAATGCTGGTTGGTGAACACGAGGGAAGTTCGCCCTTGGAAATTGAAGAAAGTGTCTTTTTTATTTGAGGCAAATTATATTATAATTTTTCATTGGAAAAATCTATCTATTTATTATGTATATATTAAAAAAGCAAAGGATTTTTGGGTTCCAATTCCCGCTCAAGACTGTCAACATCAAGCGGAGCTCCATAAATTGCTAATAAAAATAAAAGGTGGTAAAAAGTGTGTTCATTGGTTAATACCTATAGCAAAAAGTTTTTGGTGTATAGTAGAAGCTAATGTGTCAAAAGTAGCGTGTGAGATATGACAATTTTGTTGACCGAGTATGACCCGTGCAGTCGCATCCTTATCTACAATGCAAGCATATTTAGCCGTTGGGTTTACTTTGTTTCCACTGTAAAATTCTTGTAGCGTTTCCTGTGCAACACTAAAAATCTAAACTTCAATTGGGATAGTTCACTCTCAATTGGTTGCGTATGTTGCGTTGGATGTGTGAACATACCAGAAAAGACCGTTTGAGGAATGAGATAATCAGACAAAATGTGAGAGTAGCACCCGTAGAAGATAAGATGCAGAAGTCTCATTTGCGATGATTTGGTCATGTGCGTAGAAGACCGAGTGATGTACCTTTTAGACGACTCGAGAGCTGGGGAGAAGAGGCAGGGAGGAGAGGAAGAGGAAGACCCAAACAAACTTGAATTAGAGCAATCAGAATTGATATGCATCTTCTTGTGTTGGATGAGAATATGACTTTGAACAGAGCAAAATGGAGAGCGTGCATTCGTGTGAACGAATGATCTCTTTTCTATGGTTGTAAAAAAACTTCATGTTTGAGCCTTTGAGGTAAGTGAGGTTTTTGAGAGTATTCCTTTAAAATTTGTCCAAGATTCACATTATAAATGATATTGTGAGATAGGTGGTGCATAAGTTGGATTAATTATTCTATCCAATTTAGATGTCATTAGTATAATTGTATCAAAGCAAGATGTCAAGGATAGGGATGGATTCGGTTCGGGCCACCCGGCCCGTGACCCGGCCCGGCCCGGTACTGTGCGGGCCCGGGACTGGCCCGGTCGGGCGATCCGGGACCGGCCCGGTCGGGCGGTCCGGGACCGGCCCGGTCGGGCGGTCCGGGACCGGCCCGGTCGGGCGGTCCGGGACCGGCCCGGTCGGGCGGTCCGGGACCGGGTATGGGCCCGAACCGGTGGGAAGGGGCGGGGCGAGCTCGGTTCAGCATTATTGTGACCCGGCCCGGCCGGGTCGGGCCCGGGCCCGGTTCAATTTTTTTAAATTTTTTTTTTTTGGTTTGAGCTCCTACTAGCCGTTGGGGGTGGGGCTGGGGACAACCCAAACGGCTATATTGCCGTTGGGTGGGGTAAAGGGGGGGTCCGGGGGGGTTGGGTGGTGGGGGGTGGTGGGGGGTGGTGGGGGGGGGGTGGGGGTAAAAAAACCTATAAATACTCCTAATCTTAAACATTTTTTCATATCTCTTCTTCAATTCTTCCTAAATCCTATTCTTAACTCTCTACTCTCTAATTCTCTTATTCTCCAATATATTATATATCTACTCTCTAATTCTCTTCTCCAAGAAGTTAAGATGGAAAATCAAGATGCCATTATACGATATAATTTTGATAAGCAGAAGGACCCGAAGACCGGGATGTGGTACGCAATTTGCAAATGGTGCGAAAAAAAATGTATCATGGGGGCTTCAGGCGGATTCAGGATGGCAATCAAGCATATGAAGTCATGTGACAAAGTGAAAAGATCGGGAGGTGCGGGAAGTTCCGATTGATTACAATTTTCAAAATGTTTATCTCTTAAAGTTTGTTTTAATTTTCAAATGTAGTTCCTATTTCATTTCAAATAAATGCAATTGAAGTTTGTTTTTAATACTCGTATAAAACTATAAATTATAAAATATAAATTATATAAAAAAAATTAACCGGCCCGGCCCGAACCGGACCCGTCCAACCCTCGGGCCGGTCCCGGGCCCACTTTTCTTGAACCAGCGGCCCGACCGGGCCTAGGCCCGGCCCGAATCCATCCCTAGTCAAGGATATGATGATCAAGTGTTAAAGGCTCATTGAGATAATGAGATGTTCTATGCTAACATAAAACTACTTACCATTACAATTTACAAGTGTTATATGTTTCATGCCTACTTATTCGTTCAATTTATATTAAATGTAGGATGAAATATATGTCACACACTTTAAGGGATGGTTATGTTGATCCAATACCACCACATTGAGCAATCTTTATACTTCTACAGTTTTGACTTTTGACGCACTAGATGTTCCAAGGTTAGGATTGGATGTTGGTGGAATTTCCTCGTCCATAACTCTCGTGAATTTTATTTAATACCAACATGTCCCAGGCAACAAAACTTGTCATCAATGGTGAACATCTCTCATACTCTCATAGTCTCATAGTGTGTTGCATATAAATTTTGTCCAAAACGAATCCAAGGGTTCCAGCCACATCCCCCCGGATGGAATCAGGTAAAGAGCCAACCAGAGGTAAATTAGCGACAGTCTTCCTGTCACTCAAGTTTAACGCAAAGCATTCACCCAAAAATAATTTCTACACTAATTTACAGTTAAATGTACATATTTCATATTGTAACGCTCATGTAGTCCCAGTGAGGCAGATGGAATAAAATTTTCACGTTGCCTGTAACTTATAGAATCAACCCACTATAATGGAACAAGGATCATGCAAAGGACATAAACTAAGCAGTAAAAACTGATAGGAGGACTGACAAATTGCGCAAAAACATGAATATGAAAACACAATTAGGGAATCTTCTGGACAATTCATAAATGTCGTTCATTCCCCGCAACCTTGTGAAAGCATTTCCAATGAAAGAGATTTATTAGTATGAAAGCATCATTCAGCAAAGTAGGAGATGAGTTGATAACTGAACACACTGGGTTTCTTGATTTCCACTGCTTCCACATACAACATGATTTGAAGGTCAATCCAATCCTATCCATTCTTCCTCCCCTCACAAAGAATAATATGGTACCCATGTCTGAAATTTGAAGAATATATACATAAAGTAAAAGAACCTCAGTGACTTAGGAAGAAAGAAAAAATGCCAGAATTCTTACGTCGATTTGAATGGTTCACTGGTACACCCAACAACAGTATTGAAGGCAACTTCCTGAAATGGGCCAGCCATTTTGCCACGAGGAAACCATCCAAGATCCCCACCTTTCTTCCCTGATGGACATTCTGAATAGTCTTGAGCTACCTGTATGAAAAAGCACGCACAGCTTGAGAAAGGTCATGAATATCCCAAGTAAGATAATTAGGGCGATCATAACACCTATCACAGTAATATCGAGCTAAGAAAATGAAGAATTGATATAATAATCAATCTAAGATGATGAGGTCTGATATACTGAGAGCAACGAAAGGAAAAGGTTTAACTCCAGCAGTTGTGAAGAATCTACCCTGTATCACAGAGCAAATAGCAATAAGAAACCTTTCTCACTATTTTTTACTCAATTTTCATATTTCTATAACAGGCATATACTAACCAAGACAGCATCTGACTTGACATGAAAAAGAAGACTTCTAGGTACATCCTCGGGTCAAATAAAAAATAAGCAACCACCTATGAATGCATGAATTATTTGTTCCAGGAATTATATACAAGGTTTAATTATTGCTCATATAAATATGCAGTGGCAGTGTTTATCAGATGCCTTGAAAAAACAATGGCGATGATATCAACAGCACGTAACCTCCGAACCCATTGAGAAACTTTTTTGATGGTCATGCATTGACATTACATCTGATCTTCAGCTTCCCTAAGAAGAGCTTTGACTTCTGTTTAATCTTGAAACCCCTTTCGACAACACAAGACAATCTATGGAGCAATAGAGAGGCTTGGACAACAGTTTTTAAGGGTAAAAACACAATAATTTCACAACAAAACTTCTGAAATGCCTTGAATTTAACATTGCAAGTCTTATGAACTGCGATTGTTGCAAATAATTTCGAACTTGACAAGAACAACTCAGGAATTAAAAATAAAAGAAACGGATGGTTTTAAGAATTTTGGTATTATAAAATGGACATGCTTTTCAATTAGTCAATTTGTTACAAAAGCTCGAGCTTATATTTTCATACTATAACTTTAATTTTTGTATTGAGCCAGTACCTCTGTTGAGACTTTGATCGACTTAGTGGACATATCAATCTTATCTATAAATAGATTACAAGCTAGTTTAGTACTTTATGAGATGCAACTTAACCTAAATTTTTTGTGAACAGTTACCAAAGAAATGTGCATTTGGATATTTGTGAGACCCGTTAGCAATTAAAGGTTCAGATATCACCAAGTAATTAAGTAATTCAAGACTTGAAGTTTCATCTTAGTTTAGCTTCTACTTGAAGATCCGGGATGTTATGTCTGCTTGAAGGAGCTCAATACCCAACTCCCGCAGAGAAGCTAATTTGAAACACCAAATGTCCAATAACGAGGTGAAGTTGAAACAAGTGAAACACCGAAAAGAAAAGAAACAAAAGGAGAAAATATAAAATAAACATTCCATACAAAATTGAAACATGAGGTGAAGTTCTTGTAGAAATCAAGCAATAATCCGACAGCATTTAAAATGCCAATGCGAAAGATAAATGTCCATCACTAACCTTAGCAAACTCAGCTGGTGGAACCTTATTTCCATCGCCCAGCCACCCATCTTGTAGCTTCTTGTATGCTTCATTAATCTTACCCTGCTTTTCACATAGGATATGCCTAGCTGGAAACAGAAATTAAATCATTTTTAGCACCCCTACTGTACCTAACTGTATTAACTATACAATTAACGGATTTGGATGATGATGAATCAATAATACTCCGTAATATAATTGTGAAATTTTGGCCCTAAAAAAACTAAAATAATCTGCCAAGCAGGTATTCGATAATCGTCATTAAATAGTTAAAACCCATCACTATTTAACATAACATTTTTTGCAGAAGATAATATCACATACCTTTGACATGTGTACAGGTTCCAAGGCCATCTCCTTTGCCACCTTTTCCCTTAACCTTTGAAG